CACATCAAGATTTCTAAAATTGGGCTGGGGAAGTGGCTCAAGCGGTAGTGCGCTTGCCTGGCATGTGCGTGGCGCTGGGTTGGATCCTCAGCACCACATACAAATAAAGATGTTGTGTCCGCCGAAACTAAAGAATAAATATTTAAAAATTCTCTCTCTCTCTAAAAAAAAAAAAAAAAGATTTCTAAAATTTATCTCCGATTATAAGAGCCAGAAACAAATAGCTTTCCTTTATAGGACAGATGGTGAGTAACTTATACAATGTATTTTAAGCTACTTCTTTTACATGCATGTGTTTGCACATGTGTATACAGACATACATACACTTATAAACACTTCAGAATGCACAAATGGGATACATTCTTTAGGTTATGCTGGCAACACAGGAAAAAACTGTCACTACTGCACTAATCAATCTTTCATGCTTTTCAATCTTTTGATTTCCCACATAGCTTTTTAATACCTCAAAGAGAAAACACATTCATTTGAAAAAACATTTTCCGATGGTGCACCCAAAAAAAGAAATCTTCAAGAAAATATGTAATATCTTATTTTAAAAATTATAACTGCATGGATCCACTTACCTGGTGTTGAAGTCATCTCTGGGGCTGTTCTGCTAGCAGCCAGGTTCACATCAGTAAAAGATGCACTGGGTTTAAATCCTGTTGTACTTGCGGGAATTATCACTGAGGACTTAGATTTTTCTAAGGAAGTCCCAGGAAGGTCGAACTGTAACAATTTCTGGGAACTTGGAGATAGCGGAGAAGTTGGAGTTTTTGGAGTTTTTCCCTTGTCTGATGAGACACTAGAAATTTTATTTCATAAAGACATAACGAAAAAAAACTACTTTGAGCTAAACATAATAACAACATACATTACTTTCTTTACCAACATAAGCTTTAACAAGCTATGATTTATTTATTTATTTAGTCATTACACTGAATCAATGACTATGAACACTCCCCTAACTGCTAGATTTATAATAGTGCAAGTACAATCCCTGAGTACAATCCATGCCCTGAATAAAATGGAAAAGGGACCTCTTGATTAAATTGGCACWTAATTCCTCTGTAATGTATGTTATGATTCATTGTAGTGAAAGTAATGTTTTCTAGAATCAACATTATATAACAATAAAAATACGATTGTATGTAAAAGTATGTAAAGTCATATTAAAAAATTGTCTGAAAATGTGTCTGAAACAAAAACTGAAGGTTATTTGTAATCAACAGGCTAAGCATATATAACATTAAAAAGTAGGAAATAAAAACAAGAGTAGGCAAACTCCATAATCACTATAAAAATAAGTTTTCAAGAATCTGCTTGAAGGGCTAAAGCTATATAGCCCAGTTGGTAGAGTGCTTCAGCCTTACATGCACAAGGTCCTGGGTTTGATTCCCAGCACCAAAAAAAAAAAATCTGCTTGAGTGATCTAATAAACTGAATAGGAGAAAAAACGTTTATAGGAAGAACTAATTCCAACAATGAGACCAAAAGGATGCTAAAGAATTGGTTGTGCTGAAAGAGTAGAAGAACACAGTTTGGAAACAAAATCTGTAGAGAAAGAAATGAGATACTTTATGGAAATTCAAAGGAAATACTTAAGTAAAATTAGATTCTTGGGTTGGTTTATGGGATAACTAACCTTTCAAAGCACCCAAGAAAGGAAGATGCTTAGGTCAAAAGACTTCACCACAAACACCGTGGCAATGGCTTTCAGAACAGAAAGATGAGCTGTGCTCGAGGCACAGAATTCCTGAATAAGAGGTTTTAACAGTTTAGGTGAGAGATGACCATACCCTAAAATCTAGAGTTATGAACAAAGTTTTTTCAGAACTACAGAATTTTATAGGAGCTCAGACATGCACAGTTAACTACCAGGGTGAAATTAATCAAATGAAAATTTTGACTATCTTTTAACTTTATTATAATTGGATTAAAGTATAAAGCATACATTACTTTACCTCACAGAATGCCCAGAAAGTTCTTCCAAAGTGCTATCAACGTCAATAGTTTGCTCATAATCTTTAGCAGAGAGTTTGCTATTGGTCCCAGATTTCTTTCCTTGATGGGAACCACGTTCTGAACTAGAATGTACTTTTTCCTCATCAATAAGTGTGTTTTGAACATTTCCAGTGAATGAATCCAACCCTGTAAAGTAAATTTCTTATAAAGTTGATACCCAATATGAGTTACCAAAGAGATACAACTGATAGATAGATTTCAATAAAGTAATTAAAAATTACAGACAGGAATACTTAAAAATGGTCTTATATTTAAAATGTTTTCCTTTATCTAAAATAGAATAACCATCCTTTTGCTTCTATTTAATGAAAGTAAAAAGTCTTCCATTAATATATTCTACCTGCTATTAATAAGTTGTTCTTTGCTTATCTAATAATAAAAGATAAGTATATTAAACAAATAACCACAAAGAAGTTTTTTAAGGATAAAATTCAGAGCTGGGGAGAAAATTAGTAGCAAGTGCCAAATGAATTACACAATTCTTTTGAAAAACTTCATGGCAAGAACAATGTACATAAAAATGTTAATGTTCTCCTACTAAAAATAATCTTACTTATTGGGATATATCTTATAGAGACTATTGAAATAASAAAAATCATGCATGATAGTCAATGCTTAACTTTATAACTTTATTTTAACATGTATTTCCAACATAGACTAATAAATCTAAATTACATAAATAATAGTAATTTGAGCTATTTAAAATGCACTTCATATATATTACTCTATTGCTGTTAAACATCTCATAAAGTAGGTATTATACCCCCAATTTACTAATGAGGTAACTAGAGATCTACAAGTCTTAAAAATAATTGCTTAAGGATGCAAAAGACGTACACCCAGGCTTCCTCATATGAGTTTCTGCACTGTTCACTTAAATGGTAATGTTTAAATAGCAGCCTGGGAAAATTTTCTGATTACTTTTTTTTAAAAGCAAAATATAGAATTGTATATATATTTTAGCAGCAGCTAATTTTTTTTAATGTATATAATTAAAAAATCAAAACAAAGTACAGAAGTGCGGGGGTAGGGGTAGGCTATACACCAATGTTCACAGCAGCATTATTCCAATAGCTAAAAGATAAAAGCAACACAATTGTCCTTCATTAGGTGAGTGAATAAAGATAAGATACAACCATATAATGGAATATTATTCAGTTTTAAAAAGGAAGGACATTCTGACACAGGCTACCACACAGGTGAAATCTGAAGACATTATGCTAAGTGAAACCAGCCAGTCACAGAAGGACAAATACCATACAATTCCACTTGTATGAGACATCGAGAATTAGCAAACTCAAGAACAGGAAATAGAAAAGTTGTTACCAGGGGTTGGGGAAAAAGGAGAATGAGAGTTACCATATAACAGATACAGATTTTCAGTTTGGAAAAATAAAAACTTTTTAGAGATGGATGGTGGTGATGGTTGCACTATAGTGCAATATGAATGCTGTTAATGACACAGAATAGTACATTTAAATTTGAATTATTCAAGGGATCATTAATCAATTAAAAAGGACTCTAAAGTCTATAATCTCTAGGCTAGAAGCAAACTATTAATACTGGTTATGTTTAATTTTTCTATAGTAAAGATGTATTGTTTTAATAAAAACATTACTCATTTAATACTACTCTTTGAAAATAAATACAGAATGTAAAAACTGTTACTGATTTTAAACAACCAGAAATTGTATATAATACGATGTTTTAAACAAGAAAGACCTCAATTCCTACTGATGAAAATGCATGGAAAGAAAATGTTTACGCTTACATTAAAARACTGCCAAATGAAAGTACATTTACATGCCAGGCACAGTGATGCACACCTGTAGTCCCAGCAGCTTGGGAGGCTGAGGCAGGAGGATTATGAGTTGAAAACCAGCCAGCAACTTAGCAAGGCCCTGAGCAACTTCACAAGACCCTGTCTCTAGATAAAATATTAAAAAGGAAGATGTAGCTTGGTGGTAAAGCAACACTGGGTTCAATCCCCAGCACAAAAAAACAAAGAAAGAAAGTACATTTACATAACTCAAAGTTCATTAAAATAAGTTTTTTCTTAGTACTACCACCCAAACCTACCAACCACACTGGGTAAGGATTTTTCACACAAGCATGCAGATACTCTTTTTCACCACCAAAAGGAATATTCATAATAAAAATTACAGAGATTTTAGAACTTCAGGGACAAAGGAGAAGCTACATTTAAGATGTTGCAGTGGAAAAGGAAATATATTCAGGTCTTATTGTATTGTGAACAGGGACTGGGGTTATCTAAAAGCCACATATMGCTGTATTTTATCTGTTATATTTTAGATTATAATTTTTAAAAAAATCTACATTGATTCCTCTCACTTTTACTCATTTATACTCAACATATCATATTTTAAAGTTGCATGGCATACTGTGGTAGACAGTAGACAGGATTTGGGAATCAAAAGTCAGAATCTGGGTTTTACTAATAATGCATYATCTTAGGTGAGACACTAACAGCAATGCATAACAACTGCAAAATAAAACAACTGAGCAAGGTCAGCATTTCCCAAACCTTTCCAGCTGAATTCTAAAGCTATGCAATAATGAAGGAAGAAAGGACCCTTGTCAAATAAATTTGGAAAATGCTTCATAGTATAGCCCCATCCCTATTCTAAAATCAAGAGATACAGACTTTAAACTATACTACAGAGCTACAGTAACAAAAATGACATAGTATTGGCGCCAAAATAGATTTGGGGACCAATAGTACAGAATAGAGGACACATAGACAACTCACACAAACACAGTTGTCTCATTCGAGAAAAAAGAGCCAAAAGCATTCAGTGAAGAAAGATAACCTATTCATCAAATAGTGCTGGCAAAACTGGAAATCCATATTTAGCAAAATGAAATTAAACCTCTATCTCTCATCCTGCACAAAAATCAACTCAAAGTGGATCAAAGACCTAGGCTCTGGACAGAGACCCTGCCACTAACAGAAGAAAAAGTAGGYGCAATCTTTACCATATCGGCCTAGGATCTAACTTCCTTAACAAGATCCCTGAAGCACAAGAAATAAAATCAAGAATCAATAAATGGGATGGATTTAAATTTAAAAAGCTTCTCCTCAGCAAAGGAAATAATCAATAATGTGAGAAAAGAGCCTACAGATTGGGAGAAAATCTTTATCACATGCCACTCCAATAAAGCATTAATCTCTAGGATATATAAAGAACTCAAAAAACTTAACACCAAAAAAACAAATAACCCAATAAATGGGCTAAGGAAGGACTCAAACAGAAAAGACACTTCAAAGAAGAAATACAATCGATCAACAAATATATGAAAAAGTGTTCAACGTTTCTAGCAATAAGAGAAATCAAAACTACACAAAGACTTCATCTCACGCCAGTCAGAATGGCAATCATCAAGAATACAGGCAACAATATATGTTTGCAAGGATATGGGAGGAAAGGTATATTCATACATTGCTGGTGGGACTGCAAATTGGTACAACCACTATGGAAAGTAGTATGGAGATTCCTCAGAAAACTTGGAATGGAACCACCCTGATATCCCACTCCTCGGTTCATATGAAAAGGACATTAAATCAGCATACTACAGTAATACAGCCACATCAATGTTTATAGCAGCTCAATTCACAATAGCTGAACAATGGAACCAAACTAGGTGTCCTTCAACAGATGAATGGACAAAGAAAATGTGGTATATATATTCAATGGAATATTACTCAGCTTTAAAGAAGAATGAACATATGGCATTTGCCAGTAAATGGAGTTGAAGAATATCATGCTAAGCAAAATACACTAATCTCAAAAACCAAAGGCCRAATGTTTTCTCTAATATGTGAGTGCTAATTCCCAATAAGGGGCAGGGGGGCATTAGAGAAGAATAGAGTTACCTTAGATTAGGTAGAGGAGAGTGAAGGAAGGTGAGGTGAGGAGAGTGGAGATAAGAACGGTAGTAAAACAAAACAGACATTATTATATGTATGTATATATGTGACTGCATGACCAATGTGATTCTACAACATGTACACTCAGAAAAATGAGAAATTATATCCCATCTATGTAGATATATCAAAGTGCATAAGTGTATTCTACTGTCAAGTATAACTAATTAAAACAAATTTAAAACCTAAATTTAAAAAAAAGAAAAGAAATACTACTCTAAAGGCATTCCCAAATTTATGGAACCATGAGCTCTTTTACTCTTGGAACATGTATGAAAGACCCTTGTATTTCATGAGAAAATACAGACTTCAGTAAATGCTAGTGAAATAATGTCTAAAGGTCTTACTAAAGACTCTTAGAACAGTTAGAATACCTAAGAGAATTATATCAATGACTAAGAAACAAATTCTTCTACCACTCTCAATGTGGTATAGCAGCTCAATTCTCAAGTTGGAAGTATAAATTGGCTCTAAATTTTTGAAAAGCTATTTGGCAAAAAAATAGTCAAATTTTAAACACAGATATGTTCTTTGCTCCATTATCTAACTTTTGGGATTCTGCCCTATAGAAAAGAACTAGACTAATGCATAAAAGTATATTCATAAGGATATCAAAACCAGCAGTTTTTACAATGGAAAAAAACAAAACAACCTAAATATCCAGCAATATTAAGTAAATTATAACATTCAAATAACAGAACACTAGGTAGTATTAACAAATGGTAATCCCTATTTATTGACAGAGAAAGACATCTAAGAACAAAATAAAAATGAGATCCCATGCATGTAAAATTTCCTATTTATGAATGCCCACAAATTTTCTGGAAAGATTCTTATTTAAAATGTTAACATTTCACACCCATGAAGATGTTTATGATCAAAAAGCAGAAAATAACAAGTATTGGCATGTGCAGAAATTTTAACATCTATTAAAATTTTATAACCCTTATCAATGATGAAATGTGACACGGTTAAAGGTGCTATGAAAAACTGCATGGGTAGTTTCTAAAAAATTAAAAAGAATTTCCATCTGATCCAGCAATTCCACATCTTGGTGTGTGCACACACACACACACACAMAAAAAAATTGAAAGCAAGGATTCAAACAGATATCTGTTCAAAGCAACATCATTCACAATAATAAAAAGGGAAAACCCCAAACATCCAAGAACAGATAAATGGATAAACAAAATGGGGTTTATACATGTGACAGAATATTAATCAACCTTAAAAAGGAAGAAAATTCTGATATATGATACAACAAGGATAAACCCTGAAAACATTATGTTAAGTGAAAAAGCTATATACAAAAGAACAAATATTGTATAATTCCACTTATATTAAGTACCACACATATACTGTCACAGAGACAGAAAATAGAACAGTGCTTGCCAAGGGTTGTGGAAGGAGGAAGAGAGAGAGAGATTGTTTAACGGACAATATGAGAAGATGAAAAATTCTAAAGATAGTGGTAGTTGCAGGACTGAATGTGTATTATATGTCTCTGAAATGAGCACCTGAAACAGTTAAAATGATAAATTTTATATATGTTTTCCTACAATAAAATAAAATGTTAACATTATTTATCTTTAGGTGCAGAGATTACTGATGATTTTTTATTTTCAAATATAGTTTTCCATACTGACTGGTTTCTTCCTCGTATTCCTACCCTCCTCAGTTTTAACTCAATAAACAGGGTTTATCTTTGCAATTACAAAATGTTCTATAAGCAAAACCATTCCCTCACTTGAGGCCATCTGTGAGTTAAGGCTTTTGCATAATCCAACATCTCATCATCTGTAGTCCTATAGAACAAATTAGTCAACAGTAGAACTAAGGGCACTGAAGGGTATCTCCATCACTTCAAAATGTTTACTGAAAAAGGGAAGGGAAGGCAGGGGGTGCAGTAATGAGAGGAGGGAATGGAAAAATTATATTCCATGCTTTTATAATTAACGATAAAATGAATCCTAACATTATGTTTAGCTAAAAAAAAATCTAAAAATGCCAGGGGGCTAGCTACTGTGCTCAGTACTGGAACATACACATTATCTCTGATACTTTCATGAGAGCTTCAGGGGGCCATGAAACATCTATTAAAATTTTATAGATAAGGGAATGTGAAAGAAATGTGAAGATTATATTTAATGATACTCAGATATGAACGTGATATACTATTAAAAAACATGATGATACTATTAAAAGCAGTTGCAAAGCAGTAGTATCTGCATTCATTTTTTAAATAAAGATGTATGAACGACCAACAATAAAAAGAAAAAAAAAGAAAAAAATTTAAAAAAAATTTWAAAAAAAAGATGTATGGGTGTGGTTTTATGTATATATTAGAAAAATAGGCAAATAAAAAATTAGAAAAATACCATTAAATGTTTAATGGTAATTGTCTCTGAACTGAATGATCAGGGGGAATTTGTACTTCTTGAATGAGTGATCATGTATTCCTTTATTATTAAGATAAAGGGGCTGGGGGTATAGCTCAGTGATAGTGTGCTTGCCTAGCATGAATGACGTGTTGGGTTCAATCCTTAGCACCACACAAAAACAAATAAAATAAAGGTATTGTGTCCATCCACACACACACACAAAAAAAAAAAATAAATAAAAAGAGAAAAAGATGTATACTGTTATAGATCAAAAGGCATTACTTTAAGTATTAAGCTACTACCTTATCATAAATTCCTCCAACTTCTTATGAAATCAAATCATAATGTAGATCACTACCAAAAATTCATACACAATCACCATGTAGAATTCCACTTACATTCCATCTTTTCTTTTTTTCCTTTCTTTCCTTTAGAAGAAGTAGATGAACGAGATGATGCAACAGACTGGGCTCCAGATGAATGCTGGGAAGTAACTTCCACAGAGGAAAGATCATAGGCAGACTTTCGGCTACGATGGTCCTCCTGAGTGCCTATATTGCTGCCACCAATACTGTCAAAGAAAAAGTAACAGAAAAAATGAGGTCTGAGGGAGGCCACGAATTCTTCTTCAAAGCAGCTCTAAGACTATAGAATAGACACCTATGAGGAAAGCTCACCCTCTTTTTTTTTTTAATATTTTTTTAGTTGTAGATGGACACAATACCTTTATTTTATTTGTTTACTTTTATGTGGTGCTGGGGATCGAACCCAGGCCTCACGCTAGGAGAGCGCTCTACCACTGAGCCACAACCCTGGCCCACGCTCACCCTCTTAAGTTAAAAAAATGTATGAACAAGAAAGTTATTTTGAAATTAAATGGTGGCAGACATGTCCAAGGAATATTGTGGGAATTTGATCCCTTTATCAATCTTGTGATAGATGAATGTGCAGAAATGGAAACTAGTGAGCAATACAACAATACTAGAATTTTTTGTAATACAAGGAAATAGGATCATCCTGTTAGAAGCCTGGAAATAAGTATTAAAAAAATGGCTGTTAAGCAGAGAAATCCATGTCCACTCTCCAAAAGATGTGTTTTATTATGATGTAAAAATAAGGTTATGTACTGTTTGTTAAGAAAACTTTTTATAATCATCAAAAAAATGAAAAAGAAAAGAAAAACTGAAGATATTCAAAACTCTACTTAATCACTAGAATTGAACTACAATAAAAAATGGCTTCCACTTCACTTTTTTTTTTTTTTCATTATTATCCTAAGCCAGATTGCTCCCTATGGTTCAATYTGAGAAAAATCTGAGATGAGTTTACTGAAGTCAAAATGTACAATTTTATAAGTCATAACTACTTGCCCTCCGATAATCTGATAAGAGAATAATTTAATGTGTTCTATTTTAACCTGGAAATAAAATACATCAAATCAYGTCAATTGGTAACATTAAATGTCACAGTCCTTTAAAAGTTTTTATTTAAAAAATTAATCTTTTGGGGCTGGGATTGTAGCTCAGTGAGAGCGCTTGCCTAGCACGGGCGGGACCCAGGTTCGATCCTCAGCACCACGTAAAAATAAAGGCATTGTGTTGTGTCCATCTACACCTAAAAAAAGTAAATAAATATTTTTTTTAAAAATTAATCTTTTATTTATTTATTTATTCTTACTCATTGATAGACCTTTAATTTACATGATAACAAAATTCTTTCCAGCAAAGTCTCATTCACATACAGTTATTTAATCTTTGTACTTCAGATTCCTCTCTAAAATAGGGAAACTAACAATAATACTTACTATATCAGGCTATTATAAAAATGAGTTAACAAACTTAATGTCCTCAATTCTCCCAGTATCTTGGGCATTAAGAGCTCGATAATTACCAGATATTATAATCAGTTCAAACTTTTCCAAAGCTTTACAAAATTTTATATATTATTCCAGGTTTTAAAAAAATTACTCTTACATACAGATCATGAAGTATCTATATGATCTCCCTCAATTCTACCATAGAAAACCATTTCTTAAGCTTCTTCTATTAGTATACCACAATACAGTTTCTCAGTACTATCCTCTACTGAGGATTCAGATTGATTTGATGACCTAAACCTCSTTTACTATACATCAGGCCCTGTTTTAAATACTTTGTATTTCACTGAATCCTYGTAACAACTCTGAGAGGCAGGCAGGTACTATTATTTTCTATTTTAAAGAGAAGGAATTTGAGAAATAGAAATATTAAGTAATATGATCAAATAAATACAAGCAACTAATAATCCAGAGAGTCAAGATTTAAACCCAGGTAGTCTGAATACAGATATAGAGTACACAAAATTCCACTATACTACATAGATTCTACATTTATATTTCAAAAAGCAAARTTTGACCAATATTCATATCAAAGTTCTCATTTGTATATTTTTTTCACCCTTCAGACTTTATTTGATATTGTCATACTTAGGCTCAAGAGATGATTTTTTTTCTGTAAAAGTCCCACTCCCTGGAGAGGAAACAAAATCATCTTCATAAGAAACACTGCTTAGAGGGGTTGTAGTGATATTCAAAGGCCGAGATGCTGATGTTCCTCTATCTAATCTGTCTTCAAACCCTGTCAAAAGTAATAATTGATGCATAAAAATCAAAATTAAAAAATTCTAAGCAAAGTATTCCATGACATAGAGATTAATAATATGGATTTAGGGACAGTTTAGTTTGCTTTTACTAAAGCTTCTTTTCCATTTAATTTTTTTTACCTAATAATTACATTTTTATTAAGAAAATTTTCAAACATAYATAATAAATTAGCATAATGGAATCAATGTTTGAGAGTGCAAATATATAGCCAGATTACTATTCAAAATCTGACTACTATTAAAATTCATTTTGATAAACAGTAATAAAGTTGTTTCCATCTAAGAAATGTTACCACATTGCCCCTCTGAACTCTTGACCACTATATTCCAAGGATTCACAAGTTACCATATATAGAAAACATTTTTATTCAAGTATGTAAATATGACCACAGAAAACCAAGTATATACTTGAATATATGCCAAGTCTTGACCATCATCTATGAATTTCTCTAAACTAGATCAAAATTTCCACAAATATCAGATAGTTTTATGACAATTAAAAAACAGAATATTAAATATTCTAGTGTATTAAATGTCAAGTATTCTAGTTTAAATATTAAATATTAAATATTCTAGTTGAAGTTTGCAGATAATTTAACAGAAAATAAGATGGATTATAAATCTCCATTATCCTTATAATAAACAATGTAATAATGTAATAAACAATGAAGAATGTGTACTTTCATAAAAATTATGAAATAATTTAAAAAACACAAAGATAGTACAAGTCCTTCATATTTTTCTYACCTTTTCCATATAACTGATATGATTTGGTAAAAATATTAATGACACTATGTGGACTTCCCTTTGCTAATTCTTCCCATGGTCCTTTGCTTTGTGTACTACCTATGTGCCCCAAAAGTGGCAAGAATTTCTCAGCTTCCTTCTGAAACTCTTTGATGGGTTCATAAGTATTTCTTTCTCCAGCACAAAATTCCTTTTCTTTTAAGATTTCTGCCACYTTTAAAAGGGGCCGTCCATCCCGGGCTCCCTCCTCTTCAGAAAAACTACCCTCACTAAGAAGAGGCCCTTCACTGACTGAGTCTGTGCTGGAGCAAAGAGACATTTTGGCTTTTTCTTGAGAACAGGTTTGCAGATCAGAGATAGGAGAGTCAGTCTGCCTCTTACACAACTGTGCCAGCAGCCCTCCTGGTTTGGGATCAGTGGATCTTATTCTGAAGCTTGATATGGCACTCTGAGGTCGTATCATCTCAGGAAGCTTTTTAAATTCACTAAGGTTGCCTACACCAGGAAGATCATCATCAAAAGTTGTATGAGATACACAGGTTCCCAGCATCTTTTGAATTCGGGCAGAAAAAACATCTTCGGTATCCTCTTTCACAGGTGGACTTTGAGCCTTTGTCCAAGGTCCGTCTTCTTGAGGTGCTTGCTGCACTTCATACTCAGTGTTCCACACTGACCCATAATTAATGTTGGCCCCAGCCAATTTCTTGGCTTCACTTTCAATCCTGCTAGACAAAGAAGCAGCTGTTGCTTTCAAAGCTTCAATACGATCCAGTTTACTTTTATACTGGCTGGCACTAGGTTTTAACAAGGCATCTGGATGAGCAGCTGGTGAGGTCAGATATGGTTGAGGTGTAAAACTTAATGGTCCTGAAGTCATGTTATGATTCTTCCTGGCTGGTAAAATAGACTCAAAATCCTTATGCAAAATTCCTACATGTTCTAGATTTAAGAGATGGGAAAGTAAATTTCCAGCTGTTCCAACAAGAGGTTGTGGCTGGGAATTATGAATCCGTGGGCTCAATCTGTCAGGCTGCATCCATGTAGGTTCTATCAAGTCTCTTCTGGAAATTAAAGTCACAATATGTTAGTTAACACAGCAACTAATAACTACCTTTTTGTTTTTGTTGTAGTGCTGGGGATCAAACCCATGGCTTCATGCATGCTAGGCAAGCCCTCTATCATACAGCTACACCCCCAGTCCAAACCACCATTTTAAAAGAAGTTTTGGGTTTTTTTCTGATTATAAGAGTAGGGCATACTGGGGGAAAAAAAGGTAGAAAGTACAAAAAAGTTAAAGATCACTCACAGCTAACTAAACAAAGAATCACTATAAATAGTTCATTTAGATTTATATCTTTCTAAACATTTTTCTATGTGCATGTTGTGTTTTAGCTGGTATTATTTGCACACACAAAAAATGAAATTTCACTATCCATATTGTTTTGCAATCTTAGTTGTATTTTTCAACTAAGATACCACTTTTTAAAAACTATTAATTAAAGAGAAGGCATTATAATCTTGAAAATAAATTTCTTTACATCCCTGGCTCTATCTTATCCTTTGAAAATGTTATACAAAAGAGAAATTTTTAAGAGTGCTAAATATTAATATAGACATTATATAGATTATTCCAATCAATAAACATTTACTAAAAGCTGACTACTGATGTTTAACATTGTGCTTACAAAAAAAATGAGATGATTACAATCAACTTCTAAAAAATTAATGAACATCAAGGAACTAAATGAAAAACTGTGAGTTCCAATAATAAATATACAATATAGGGTCAGGTGTCCATAAAGTCCAGAAACAGAATAAAGATACCCTAACCAACATAATATACATCCACCTATGTTTCCAGGCTATACATGCTCCCTGTATATTAAGGGATACTATAGAGAAATTAAAGATGAATGTCAACTATTAAGAAGATTTTGTTTAAGAGTCTTGTAGTTTACTTTTGAATGATGATATTAAGACATAATTATCAAATTTGCAGAAGACAGAAAGCCTGGAAGCATRGCCTCCTCAACAAATGATCAAACCACTATTCAAAGTTATTTGTAAAGGCTGAAAATTTAGACTAAACTAACATGGAGAAATGTACACTTCCACAGTTGGACTAAAAAACATCTGGAAGAGGGTAACCAAGGTGATAAAGGTGATATCAACCAAGGTGATAAAGGAAATGGAAATCATGTCAAGCAGGTTCTGGTGGGAAGTTGCAGCAGTCTTGTATACTCAAGGGCTGTCAATAAGAACTGAATGAAGGAATATTACAGCACAGACTTTATGCTATCATATATAAAGTATTATAAATGCAAAATGTGAAGTTATTAGTGTCTAAGCTAAGCTGCTAACAACAGGAATATAAAGGCGGTTATAATACAAAAGACATCAATGAATAAAAATCCAAGAGTTTAAAATTAAAATTTTTATTCATTGATGTCTTTTGTATTATAACCGCCTTTGCATTCCTGTTGTTAGAGCTCAGCTTAGACACTAATAACTTAGCTTAGACACTAATAATTTCACTAATGCCAGTTTTATGGTGATATATTGATTGTGGAGGAAAAAAGGAAAACAAAAATGAATATATTTAACCAAGTTAAGAATTAATCCTGGCTGGAGAGGTGGCTGCACTGGTGGAGTGCTGGCCTAGAATGCACAAAGTTCTGGGTTCAATCCTAAGCACCACATATAATAAGTAATGAAATAAATATCTAAAAAAATTATAATAATAATTAAGCCTTATTCTGGGATCTCAAGACATAACAAGGATGACAGACTAATAAATGAACAGCTAAAATTACAGATGTCATAAGTACTAAGATAAAGACAAAGTTCACTAAGATAAAGATAAGGGAGCAAGTAGTTCTRCTAGACAAGGAAAGTAACTTTTGAACTGGTTCTTCCAGGTGTTCAATCTCAGGTATATAACCTGGTAGAAGCAAATTAGCAAACAAAAATGATGGCACATAAAGAGCAATGAAAATAAATGACATAATTTTAAGTATATAATAAATTCATTTTAACCATGAAGATAAATTTAAGCAATTAATAGGAATGAAGAAGCTCAGAAATGGATAGTGCAGAAGTGGAGGCAATAGGTTAAGACACTACAGGTTGAAGAAGTCTGCTATTAAAAGAAAAAAGAAACAAGAGGCATAATGTAAACATGTATTGAAACAACACAGAGTACCTCATAAACATGTACAATAGACTTAATCTGTTTAGAATTAGAGAATGAAACGTAGAAAAAGGCAAAAATTGAAGATATGTATATCTGAAAACTGAAGAGGATCACCACCCAATTGTATTTACATTTTAAAAAATGTTTAAACCTTCAACAAATCATCTCAATCATTCCACTTATTAGGAGGCAGTATGGAGAGTAGTTAAAAGCACAGGCTTCTGGAGTCAGATTGCCTAGGTTCAAATCTATCTCCACCACTACTGTTTTAACAACTTGGAGAAAATTAATTCAACTATAGTAGCCTAAATTATCTCTTCTGTAAAATAGGAACAACAGTGCCTAACACAAGGAATTATAAGGATTAAATAGTATAGACAAAGTACTTAGATCAGTGCCTGAAAGCTAAGAAACAATGTTAGGAATTTTATCAGGGTGAGGGGAAAGACGACCATGTACTAACCCCAAATTGGAAAGTGATTTGATTTCTATTTTGCAATCTCAAATAATTTCAAAAACCTTTCTCTTCCCAAAATAGATCTCATTACTAAGTATAATTTATATCCATGTAACCTTTCACTGTGATTTATCCAGCAGATTTTTATTGTTTGTTTGGTTCAGAGAAGGGAAGAGTGCTTCCAACTGCAGGAAGAATCGACATTAATACTGGATTGAAGAACAGGCAAAATTTGAATAACTAAGAATAGGGCATAAAGTAAGTACAGCTATACAGCATGCTTAGAAGATATTATTAGAAATAAACCTCTCTATGGGGCTGGGGTTGTGGCTTAGCAGTAGAGCACTCGCTTAGTACGTGTGAGGCCCTCAGTTTGATCCTCAGCACTACATATAAATAAATAAATTATTTTTTATCTATAGTGTCCAACTACAGATAAAAAATAAAAGAAAGAAAGAAAGAAATCTCTCTATGTTCTCTTCCTCATAAAGGTCAGTCAGCAAAGTTCATTGAACACAGACCACCTACACTAAACTCCATAAAATGAAATTTTATCCTCCTCTTTTTACCTTGCAAGGGGCTGTGGGGGTTCTGATAGAGACATGTCACTACTGGAAGATGCACTTGGGGGACGTTCCTGTACTTTATTTTCTTTGTCAGATTCTCCAGATGGCTGATACCCTGGTCTGACCTAGGGAAAAAAAAAAACGATATCACATTTATCTAAGTTCTGACTTCTATCACAAGGAATTATTCAGAGAGCTCATAAGATAAACAGAGTGTTTTTCTTCCTCAAAAATAATTCACATTTAGTTTGCCTTTAAAATAACCATTATGATTAACAACAAAACGTTTAAAATCCAACAAGAACACCTAATCCTAGCTGTCTAGTGTTAGGAAGAAGTAATATCCTTTATAAATCTCAGTTGTTTCACCTGATAAATAGAAATAAGGTAGTACCTACCCTTTTCATGGTTGTGAGAATTTACTGAGTTTAAGCCTATAAGTAAAGCCTTTCAAAAAGTATGAGGTACATAGTGCATACTTATTATTCCTTATTAGCACACTAAACTAGAATAGTCTCTAATTTCAGCACAGATTACAAAACTAAGTATGTCCTAACATAATCTATGTACTGAGTATTTGTTTGGTACTACAATGAAAACTAGGCAAGAAAATAATAGCAAAGACAAGAGGAATCAATGTTGATTGACTGTTGAAATCAATATTGGAAACTCTTAATTCAGCTATTATTTTCTACCATATTTTTCATTACTCTTCATATGGAATAAATTTCATGAAAGGTCATGACTATTTTAAATATTATCTAAGCATATGTCTGAATACTAGTAATGGTGAATAATTTTTGAATAGTACAATATGGCAAATAAGCTTTTCCTAAGCACGACTTACTCCTCTTTGTATTTCTTACTACTATTACCTGAGTTTCCTGTGTAACATGTTGATGAGCTGGCTCTTCCAGCAAGGTCTTTTCTAGTAGCAATTTGGAGTAAGTTTCCTGTAGCCTTCTAGCTGCTGATGGATCAGGAGGCACATTTTTTGCTTTAGTAAAAGCTTCTTTCTGTTTCCGGTAGAGTTCCTGTAATCGTTTATTCTTCTGTTCAGTAGCCTCCTTTTGAGCCTTCTTCTCTTCGTTTTGCTTCCTCTTCCTTTCTTCCTGCTGTTTAACAATGTACTGTCGTACCTCATCAGTGTCATAATGGCGCTTTTTGGAAATAACAGGGGGCTCTTCGTTGGCTGTTATTTTGTCAGGTTTTCTTTTCACTGGGCTATGACTCCGAGGAACCTGGACAGGTGCTGATGCCTTCTGATTCTGTAACTCTCCAGTTTCTGGCCTAGAGGTCTGAGCTGTAGAATCTAGCTGTAAGTCATCAAGAATGCCACGGATTTCAACAGGTAAAAAGTCCTTATTTAAGGCAGTACTTTCCTCCTGTTTATTTTCTGGAAGAGACGGAGCTAACTTCTTTATATTATTTTCAGACCGAGCTCTACTTCTTGAACGTTCTGAGCTTCGTGGAAGAGGTCTATGTGAAGCATCCAACCTGGGATCAGATTCTGCTCTTCCAATATGACCCCCTACAACATATGAACTGTTAGTGATATGTTAAAATTCTATATTCATTTCTAAGATTCATTGTGCTAAGAAGAAAATTAAGGAATTTAACTTTATCTCAAGTTCAAAATTGAGATAGTCTTCTAAAGAACATTATAAAAGGTCTGGGGTTGTGGCTCAGTAGCAGAGCACTTGCTTAGTATGTGTGAGACACTGGATTCGATCCTTAGCACTGGATACAAAAATAAGCAAATAAAATAAAGGCATGCTGCCCATCTATAACTACACACACACACACACACACACACACACACACACACACACAACACAAAATAAAAAAGAAAGAAAAAAACATTATAAAAGAAAATAAAACCTTCCCTTTTTAATAGTAAAAGAATTTCAATCTTCAGAAAAACTATACTTCCTTGGGTCTTTTTCTTTTTTAATGCCTTTTTAAATATTTCTAGAAAAAGAACAGATCTTACAGTTAATGTGAACATTAAACATTACTATTTCTTTCTTACATGCATATTTAATATGATTACTTCTCTGCTTTAAAAAGTTATTTAAAAATCAATAATCTGAGCTAGAGTTGTAGTTTAGTTTAGGCTCTGGGCTTGATCCCTAGCACCACAAAAACAACAAAAATCAATTATATTTTTAGTATAAAGTATCCTAATTAGAACCAAGGAAATTGAAAATATTTTAAGAATMTTTTAAAGAATAATAGTTTCTTACAGCTTTGCAAAGATCATATACCAAATCCAATAATAAAGGCACCAAAAATACTGATTTTATTGAAAATCCTACAACACCGAACCCTTTCATAATTACATGAAATGGGACCATATGTAGATAAGTTTATCAAAGAATTTCTGAAAGATTAATTTACATTCTTCTTGGTGCAGAAAATATTAAAACTGGCCTCATATATCATATTCACATTTTAGTAATCTCTGTAAAACAAACTTTTGTTTTTGAGATGGAGGTTTCACTAGGTTGCCTAAACTAGTCTCAAACTCTCAATCCTCCCACTTCAAGCTCCCAACTAGCTGGTATTACAGTTGTTTGCCATCACACCCAGTTATGGCTTAATTTTAGATTGAGAATTTATTGGCAACATAGAWGAMAGCGAAGAGGAAAAAATACAATGTATATTGACTTCTATATACCAAATTGTAGCTGTGATGTCATTTTTTACTAAATCCTGCAGAAATTCAATTAAGGCAAATTTTGCTAATGTAAAGGAAATCTGGCCTGTAGGTCTTTATCTTTTATTTATCAAAATTAGCATTATTCATTTCAAATATCATTTAAGATACTTCAAAAAGTGAAAAGTAGGGCTGGGGTTGTGGCTCAGTGGTGGAATGCTCGTCTATCATACATGAGGTGCTGGGTTCGATCCTCAGCACCACATAAAAATAAAATAAAGATATGGTGTCCATCTAAAACTAAATATTTTCTTAAGTGAAAAGTAATAGAATTGAGGGCCAAATGTAAAAGATCTGGTACTTATATCCAAAATATGCCACCAACTATACAACCCTGAGAAAAATGAATTTTCTTTCAGAGCCAGTTTCCTAAACTATATTTAAAAAACAAGCAATGGTGAGGTACTAAACAACTCAGTGAGACCCTGTCTCTAAATAAAATACAAAAAATAGGGCTGGGGATGTGGCTCAGTGGTCAAGTACCCCAAGTTCAATCCTTAGTATCAAAAAAAATAAAAAATAAAAAATAAAAAAACAAACAAAAAACCCAACTTTGTAAATGTTTGTTTATACACATTGGAAAAGACAGGCTAGATTTGATTCTCTTAAGGACCCTAGAAGTGTGATATGATTTGAATAAAACACTGCTTTGATATTCATGACAGCTAATTGTAATGAATATAACAAACACAGAATTCTTGGTACAGATGGCCAGAACACCTATGAGCAGAGAATATTCAGATAAGCCCAGTAGAACTTTTTTTCTTTTCAGGTGGGAGGCGGGGCACTCGACCACTGAGCCACATCCCCAGCCCTATTTTGTATTTTGTTTAGAGACACAGTCTCACTAAGTTGATTAGCATCTCACAGTTGCCGAGACTGGCTTTGAACCTACGATCCTCCTGCCTCAGCCTCCTGAACTGCTGAGATTATAGGCATGTGCTAAGAGCCCAGACCCAGTAGAACATTTTTGCTTTGCATTTCATTCACAATTATAAAGTCCCACAACATTCTCAAGTACATTAACCTTTTCAAGTACTAATGCAAGCAAGCCATTTTTAATTATTTTTTCAACAATTTTAATTACAGCCACTCACCAGATTTAGTAGTTCTTTCTCTTCCATTTCTGTCACTGGATGCTGTTCTTGGCTCTTTCTGCTCTATTCTGGGCACAGGTCCCAGAATTTTCTTTACTAATTTTTGTCCATCTCGCCAAGAAGATGTACTTATCACACGACTATTACCTAAAATATATAGGTGTATATATAACATTAAATTTAAAACTCAAGTGTTARCTCTAAGTAGTATACCTATGCAACCATGAAGGTTTTATATTTAATCTTGTTTATCTTCTGTTCAGRCCCAAAGTTTTACAAAATAACTGTGTTTTTAACTCTAAGCCACCAAAATTGGTTAACAATTTGTCCATCTCTTTATTTACCTAGGAATGTCAAATAAGTATAAAATGTTTTCAATCATATGTACCAAATCAARTTATTCCTAAAGCCTCAAATACTAAGGCATTGAACTCAACAATGTCATTTTGCAAAGAACAAAAACGCCTTTAATGATAATAAGTGTTTGGCTTGGTGCATAGAAAATGATAAAAAACATGTTTGCTGAACAAATGAATGACTTAATCTAAGCATAGGAAAAAATTATGAGGAGAAATAAAACAATTAACAGTGATCATCTTTGAAAGGGATGGCATTTCTAGGTCTTTCACATTATATTTTATAGGTGTATACCATTAATACACACCATTATTTTCTTAACAACAACACTCTCAATACAAATATCAACACTTTAAACTGCCCTCATTATAACGGCTCACAAAAATAAGAGTATATTTCAACAAATACAGCTATTTACTAGGAGGAAAACAATTTCTACTAGTTTCAGAAAATTAAAAATAGACTATCATCCCAAAATAGACAATATCCTTAATAGCAACAAATGACTTGAGACTGTTTATAAAATAGAAACTATAAAAAATAAACATGAAATAAATATGTGTTTATGTAGAATAATATAAGAAACAGAATAATGAAAATGATGAAGTAGCACTTTAAAACTAATCAAATTACAAARAAGGGCTGAGAATTGTGGCTCAGCGGTACAGAGTTCGCCTTCCATGTGCAAGACCCTGGGTTCGATCCTCAGCACCACATAAAAAAATAAATAAGTGAAATAAAGGTATTGTGTCCAACTACAACTAAAAAATAAWTTTTTTTTAAAATTACAAAGAAAATTTTTATATTAATAGCCTACACTTCTAGGCATAGTGGCACAAGCCTATAATCCTAGTTGCTCAGGAGACTAAGGCATGAGGCTTCCAAGTTCAAAGCCAGCCTCAGCAACTTAGCAAGGCCCTAAACAACTTAGGGCCTGCTGGACYCTGTCTCAAAATAAAAAAAAATAAAAGGTTGACATAGCTCAGTGGTTAAGCAACCCTGGGATTCAATCCCTGGTATCAAAAAAAAGGTCAGGGCTGGGGATGTGGCTCAAGCGGTAACGCGCTCGCCTGGCATGCGTGCGGCCMGGGTTCGATCCTCAGCACCACATACAAACAAAAGATGTTGTGTCCGCCAATAACTAAAAAATAAATATTAAAATTCTCAAAAAAAAAAAAAAAAGGTCAAAGACATTCATTTAGGTTTTTGTGTAAAAAGGATTTTAATTTAAAAGTTTAATTGGAAGTATAGTCTTGAGGAAAACATCAATCACAAACAGGTGAATAATGTGTGCTATTTACTTGAGAAATATTTTCTATCCTGATATTAATTTTAGATACTCTCTAAAATATTTAAACAGTTTTAAGTCTACTGCTCAATCTMTTTTTAAGGAACTTTTTAATTTTAAGAAAAATGAGAAAACAGACTTCTTCTCAATTTCAGTTTGAATTTCTGAATCAAAAGCAAACAAACATGAATACACTGTGTAGTTATTTATAAATGCTGGCTTCTGAATATGCTGGGTGGTTATCTATAAATTCTGGCTTTCTGAAACAGTCTCATTCAGTAAGTGGAAGAAAAAGACTTTYATTGGCAAACTACTAATATAGCTTTAGCATATTTAATGATTCTGTGTCTAAGTCATGCTACAGTGTATACATGGGMATTAGCCTACAACAAAAGTGGAAAAATAAACTCCAAATTAGTGCTGCAAGTTATAGTGCTTCATTTCATTTCAAACTAAACCCCTAAGAACAGTATTGTATAATATTACATGAAAAGTTTTTTTTAATTTTAAGAATTAGTTAACACCAAGATCATTCATGTTCTTGTAAAATTTCATTGTATTTGCATAAAACCAGTGTCACTCTGTTAAGACATATGAAATTAATAAATGTTGCAAATTTATTTAGCATAGCATTAATTTATTTGCCATTATATTGATTAGTCTATGCACGTGTGAGGTACTAGGTTCGATCCTCAGCACCGCATAAAAATAAATAAATAAAGATACTGTACCAACTACAACTTAAAAAAAAAAAAAACAGTCTGATCAAAAAGCAGTGCCCCAGGCTGAGGCTGAGGCTATGGCTCAGTGGTAGCTCATTTGCCTGGCATGTGTGAGGCACTGGGTTTGATCCTCAGCACTACATATAAATAAATAARGGCCTGTTGAAAACTAAAAAAATCTTTAAAAAAAAAAAAAAGGCAGTGTCCCATCTTTCTGATACTGTGTCCATAAAACTTGTTATTTTTTATCATAGCATTAATTTATACTCCCTTGAAACTACATACCTCCTCCATGAAGGTTGAAACTATGTGCATCTAGTGTATCACTGTGTTACCTAAGCTTAGTACAGTGCTTCACAAAGAATAAGTGCTGGGGGCTGGGGTTGTGGCTCAGCGGTAGAGCGCTTGCCTGGCATGCACGGGGCCCTGGGTTCAATCCTCAGCACCACATAAACATAAAAATAAATGAATGGAATAAAGGTTAAAAAAAAAAAAAAAGTGCTCAAAAACATTTGAATAATGAATTAATGGATCAATTCAGAATGTCTCCAAACTGAAAGTGACCACACAGACACACACACACACACACACACAAAGATGATACAAAGTACTGAATTTTTCTATATGCCAACTCTGAGAGTATTTGGTAACCAGTATTTATAGCCATATAGATTCAAGATCAGTAATATATAACCTCAGGATGGATACAATACTGAAAGACTAACCTGTTTTGCATTCTGGACTTGATAACTGTGTTACCTTTTGAACTTTTCGTACTGGCTTAACCCCTTTCTTCTCTTTACTTTTGTCAACAGGTTTCTCTTTTATAGAGATATCATCTGAAATGTAGAAAAATGTACAGCAATTATTATGATTCCCACCCACCTTTTCATCCTCCCAGTAAGAAAAATCATTACAGCAGTTGCCCCTTATCTGTGGTTTCACTTTCTGCAGTTTCAGTTACCCAAGGTCAAATACAGTCCAAAAATATCAAATGGAAACTTAGGGAAACAAACAATTCAAAAGACTTAAATTGTACAACATTCTAAGTAACATCATGAACTCTCTTGCTATCTAGCCCAGAGCAGTTTATCCCTTTGCCGGCATATCCACACTGTATATGCTACCTGCCTACCCCTTAGTCAACCCCAGTAGCTCCTCTTGGTTATCAGACTGACTCTCACTCTTTTGATATCATAGAGCTTCTGTTCAATTTACAAACCTTATTTTACTTAATAGACCCAATACCCAAGAGTAGTGAGCCACCATGCCTACGAAAAACTATAAAGTACAGTGAAATTTGTTAACTTAATAAAGAAAAAATTATATGCTAAGGTGGCTAAGATCTACAATAAATTGTTATTAATCTCTTACTGGACCTAACTAATAAATTAAACTTTATCAGTGGTATGTATAGGGGGAAAAAGTATAAGTAAGATTCAGTACTATCTTCAGTGCTAGGCATCCTCTGGAGTTCTTGGCATGTATCCCCAGTGGGGGGAGACACAATATAAAGCATATGATTCAGGTAGCACAAAAGAAATCTTCACTGAGGCTATTTCTGTGATGCACAAGCCATCAATGTCAACTTTTCTTACAGAAAGATCTAAAGACTACCACTACTCCACTGTTAGGTTCTAATTCTTTATTATTTTTTTTTTTCTTCTCCAGAAACCTCATTTTCACAAATGGAAAAAAAAAAAAAGTTACAATAGTAATACATTAAAAGTCAAGGTCACATGTGCAGAATTTCAGAGGTGAACACTTTCACAAATTCCTATTTAATTTAAAAATGTAGAAACATAAAAAGTTTACAAAACAGTCAATATAAAATATGTGTGTGTGTATAATTTTTTTTTTTTTTTGCAGTAATGGTCTTGAACCCAGGGGGGCTCTATCACTGAACTACATCCCTAGCTGTTTTTATTTGTTATTTTGAGATAGGGTCTTCTTAAGTTGCCAATGTTGGCCTTGAACTTGTGATCTTCTTGCTTTATAGTCATGGGATTATAGATGTGTACCACTACAACCCACTCAATATAATGTTCTTAAAGCAGATCCTTTCACGATTATGTAAGTGAAAACTGTCAGGGTATTTTGTATATAAATTATCCATTAATTCTTTAGGTTTTWTTTTTCAATCTGGGGGCTGACTATGCATAGAAATTTTTTAAATTAACCTCAGATATGAATAAATGGAATTTAAAGTACATGGACAGCCTTGCATCATGGGCAGGAAAAAAAATAAGTATGAGTAAAAAGCTCTTAGGCAGGAGGTAAACCTAGTGTCTAAGAACAAGCAAGGAGACCAGTGTAATTGAAATGAAAAAAATAAAATATAAAAGAGAGGGGAGGGGGCAGAGAATAGTATGGTCAGAGACATAACTGAGAGCCAGATCAGACAGGGTTTTATAAGTCACTATAAGAATGTCTGCTTTGCTCAAAAGTGGGGGAATTTTTTGAAAGATTTTGAATAAAGGAGAGACATGATTTAAATTAAAACTTGACAAGCTTACTCTAGCAGTTGGGATGAGAACAGATTCATTAGAAGAGAGAAATAAATAGACCAGTTGGAAGACAAGAGACCAAGAAAYTGATGGTTGCTTGATCTAAGTGGTAGCAACTGAGGAGTGTATGTATGTGTGTTTTATAAATGTTTTACATATATTACACACACACACATTTATTTTGGACAATATAAAGTGAGAGAAATAAGAAGGGGATCAAGGAAGACTCAAGATTTAGGGTCTGAACTCTTAGAAGAACAGTATTAATAGATGTGAAATGACTGCCAGAGTAGYAAGTTTAACTCCACTGAGTTAGTTAATAAGCTCTATTTTGGATATATTAAGCTTGGGAAACTTTTTTTATACATCCAAGAGAACATGTGGAGTTACCAGCTGGATAAGAGCTTGAGTTAAGAGGGGGGATTTGGGCTAGAGACATAAATCTAGGAATCATTAGCAATAAAGAATCAATATTTGAAACTAGCTAAGCTTGCCTAATAGGTATGTGTAGATAAATATGAATGAGAGCATGCATGAAGGAGGGAGGAAGAAAAGCATGAGTACCAAGGACTGAGGCCAAGGCATGCCAATGGTTACTGGCATGATCAGGGAGTTGATTAGGAAAAAAACAACTGGAAAAGGAGCAGTAAGACTTAGGAATAAAACCAGGTACTTATGAAACCCCAGATATCAAGTGAATATCAAGGAAGAATTGATCAATCATGTTGAATGCTAAGAGCTCAAGATGACAGATGAATATTAAATACTGCATTTAACAATGTGATAGTCACTGATGATCTTAAGAACAGTAGCCCACAGAGAAATAATGGCAAATACCTAAAACAAAAGATTAAGAAAAGGAGGAGACAAATTGGTACAATGAGTACAAGGCAACTTTTTGCAGTTTTACTGTTAATAGAAGGAAGAAACAGGACAGTGACTGAAGAGAAGCAAAAAAAAAAAAAAGTTCTTTTAAGATGGCTGATATAATAACATRTAAACAAACAGTATGTCAAGAGGAATGACCTGGAAGAAAGGGAAAGCTGATGATAAAAAGAAAAAAAAAATAGGGTGGAATTTTTTTGGGGGGCAGGGGGTGGTACTGGGGACTGAACTCTAGAGTGGTTACCACTGAGCCACATCCCCAGTCCTTCTTATTTTTTATTTTGAGACAGTCTCACCAAGTTGCTATGGGCCTCATTAAGTTATTGAGGCTGGCATTCAACCTGTGATCCTCCTGCCTCAGCCTCAGTCATTGGGATTTCATCAGGTGTGTGCCACCACACATGGCTGGAAGTAATAATCACAAATAGAAAGAACAAATGCAATCTAAAATACAGGTAGATAGGTTGTTCTTAGCTAGGAACACAGAAATCACCCACCTACCATAATGAGAAAGAAGTATTAAAGGCAGATCTTTTAAGAGTCTTGACATATTCCATTTGTCTATCCTGATACTGTACTATTAAATATATTGTTATTGTTTCTTTTTATAGATGAGAAAACCAACGAAGAAAAGTTATGTAACATAGTTGGCAGAAATAGCTAGTAAGTGGCACAATCAGGATTTGAACTCTTGTAAGCTGATTCCAAAATCTTCACTCATCTCTCCACACGAGAAATTTGTTTTCTGAATGCAGTGCTCTAATTAATAAAAGCAAGAAAACTGGACTGGTCACTCAATGCCACAAAATTTATTAGTGAAATCTCTATGAGGGCTTACTAGAAACTCCTCAGGATTTAGAATCAGACAAAGTTGGTTTTGAATCTTGGTTTCAATTCTTTATGCAACCCTGGGAAAATTACTCTGAGCTTCCACTTCCTCAACTGTAAAAAATACACAAGATTAAGCACTTAGTATCTTGCCAGTCATACTAGGTATTCAATAAGTAGCAACATTACTACTATAACCTTCCTATTTCCCTCTTCCAGGCTTCCACAGGCATCTCCTATTTCTAATTCTCTAACATTACTCTCTCCCTATAATACTTATTTTCTTTCCACATCTGACTGCCAAATTACTGACCACTTCAACAATCTGACCACGTCAAAGATGTCAGAAGGGTACCAGAAGTAAATGTCAACTAGACTCTCCTATGCTTCCTCTACATCAGGTGGTCTGAATTCCCAAAATCCCCCAGTTTAAAAAACAGCCTATCTCATTAGTCATGTAGGCTAATTTTAACCCACGGAAGAACCTAGAGGCTGAGAGAGTCTTTTAACTCAAACCACTACTACATTAAATATAACACACTTAGAAAAGGGAAAATCTTTAGTTGACAATTTCATGTTTAAATATTATAAATTAGATGGCATGCATGATAAATACTCAAATCATAAAAAACCTCAGCTCTCACCTGCAAAGTGAAGTGCTAAATCACGGTACAGTTCTCTACTCATGTTTTGAAACTCAGCCTCTTGCCATACTTTCCCATCAGGCGTTCGAATCTTGGTCTCTGAAGGGTTGAAACCTAATATATACCAGTAATACAGAATATTCTCATCAAAGTTCATATCAAAATATATTTTGTTGAGCATACTTTTTTGAATGAGATATGTGACATAAAATTCACTCTTTTAAAATGTACATCTCAGAGGTTTTACTATATTTACAAAGTTATACAACCATCTAATTCCAGTGTATTTCATCACCTTGAAAACAAATCCTGTACCTAATAGCAGTCATTTCCCACATGATCTCTTCCATCTCTGGCAACTACCAATCTACTTTCTATCTTTATGGATTTGCCTATTCTGGACATTTCACATGGAATCATACAACACATTGTCTCCTGAATTAAGGAAGTCACATTTTCAGGAAAGTATATGACATAACCATTATTTTGGTGCTTTGAGGAAGGTGCTGAGGATCAAACCCATGCCTCAGGTGTGCTACCACTGAGTTACCCAATCCCCAGTCCATAAGCATTATTTTTATGAAAATTTCAGCTGGAGGAGCAGAACAGTTGTTAAGGAATAACAAAAGCTTGCAGTAATGAGCCAATCCCAACAGTGAACACAAGCTGATGGTACAATCGTTTGTGAAACCAAACAGAAAAAATGTCCCTAATCCATGCCTTTTTGTTAATTGAGTGGTATAAAATTCACTTCTTTTAAACAGTGAGGATGCAAGCTTTTGCCTATCAGAGCACATTTACATTTATGTGGGCCGCCTGCTGCATTAGCATATCCGGGCACAGTTTCTCCRTCCTTGGCATCCTTAATTCCTTATGTCTTATTAGCCATATTAGCCACAGTCTTTCTGTGTCAATAATACAAAAATAGTGACGTTTCACCTGTATTATAGACTTGTGCTGCCATCAGACTTTTCCCAGCAATGACCTGGGCAAATTAGTTAATGAATTTCTCTGCTACTTCATGGTCAGCAGATGCTTTATTTATCACTACAAATCCTTAAAACTTTAATGCCTTTTCTTAAACGTCTGCAACCAGCCTCTTGAATATTTATAGTTCCTCAAATTCAGTTCTTTAGGATAGATCTTTACTTGTTTCAGGATGGACATATCAGATCTATGTTCACGGCGATGTTAACAGATGTATAATTTCAAAATACAATCAAGATATTCATATTTAGCTTGATGTTGTGTTTTCCTATTTTTCCTTAAATTCTGTTCATCACTTTCAGCACAAAACTTTGTTTATTTTTCTGTTTCTTCAGTATGGTGCTCATTCCAACACCACAGTCTACTGTAAGATGTTTCAGGCTCACATTGCTGTCCAGCTTGACTTTCTGTGCTGATAAAACAGAAAMACTTCCTCTTCTTTAAATATCTGTTACCCATAAGGTTATCTGCAGGGCTTTTTGACATTTTCAGCAATACCTTTACATCATAGAATAAACAAAAATTGAGTAGAACTTCTGGGTCTTGGCCCCATGTGGGTCATCAGGAGAACTGCCATTAGTACATCAAGCAAACCATATGCCCTTTTATCCTGTGTGGGGGAATTTGAGCATGCATGATAAAGACATTACAGCTCAAGGGCTGGTAGGGTCTTCTCTCCCTTGGAGTCTTTGAATAAACTGTGTGGTACAACAACACTTTGACTATAACCTATCACATGAGGTCAGGTGTGAAATTTTCCACATATAGACTAGCAGTCTCAMAGTTTTAGATTTTGGAGAACTTTGAATTATTTCCAATTCTTTGTCTACTTTTTCCTACTAATTGAATTTAATAAATAAAATAAAAAATTTACTGTAAACTTACTTGTGTCCATGACATTATACCAGCTCTAGGATAAAATAAGAATGATCAAGATAGGCCCTTTACCTTCTTTGGTGTTTATACCAGAAAGATAAAGATATACCAACAAGAAAGTTGGGCTGGGGCTGGGGCTCAGTGGTAAAGCACTTAGCAAGCACGTCTGAGGCACTGGGTTCACTCCTCAGCACCACATAAATAAACAAAATAAAGGTATAAGGTATTATGTCCATCTATAACTAAAATATTTATATATATATATATATATATATTTATATATATATATATATATATATAAAATACAAAAAAGTATCACATAAGCACTGTTTGTGATCACCACTTCAATCTTTTGAAGCAGAATTACAGAATACTTCTCATGATTTTTTCATGATTTATTTTTTTAAAAATAACAAAAACAAAATGAAAAACCAAAGTGCAGAATGGGATTAGCATGCTAGAATTGTACAAGAGGAGGAAAAAAATATATACACAAACATACAAAAATTATTTGTGTATGCAAACATTTTAAGACAAGTAACAGAAATGTGGTTGAGGCATAAGAGTGACAAAAGCTATTCAAAGTAAACTTTTSATTTTTGTATACCATGTCAATGTAAACCAAGTCAATGTACTATGTGTTAAAATTAATGAAATTAAAATGACACATTAGAATACAATATTTTAAGGTGCTTCTAATTTACATTGCCAAAATATTGACACAAACAGTTCTTCACTGTTGGGAAGGAAAAAAATCCCTCCATCAGGACACTGGAAACCATATTCTGATTGTATATAAAGTATATTCACACCAATTCATGTTTCATACGTATACTTTAGATAATAATGATCATCATCACATTCCACCATCATTTATAACCCCATGTCCTCTCCCTTCCCCTCCAACCCCTCAGCCCTATCTAGAGTTCATCTATTCCTCCCATGCTCCCTCTCCAGATCCCACTATGAATCAGCCTCCTTATATTAGAAAAACATTTCGGCATTTGGTTTTTTGGGATTGGCTAACTTCAGTTAGCATTATCTTCTCTAACTCCATCCATTTATATGCAAATGTCATGATTTTATTCTCTTTTATTTATAATATTCCATTGTGTATATATGCCACATTTTTTTATCCATTCATCTATTGAAGGGCATCTAGGTTGGTTCCACAGTTTATTGGAACTATGCAATTGTGCTACTATAAACATTGATGTGTCTGTGTCCCTGTAGCATGCTGGGTTTTTGTGGGTTTTTTTTTTAAATACATGACAACAGAATGCATTACAATTCTTATTACACATATAGAGCACAATTTTTCATATCTTT